ATTTGCGGGCCAACTCCCACGCCGTTTCCTCCGCTTCCAATATTTTCTTTGGTAATAGCACTACCGGCACGCTTTCTTTCTTTATCAAGATTTGCATTTAGTTCCATTTTCTTGGCCATTATTTGCATTACTAACTGGGCTCCGCGTAACATCGTATCATCCAAACGATCCAATCGTGGCATCTAAAACACACTCCTACATTACCTTTCTTAATACTAACGATATTTGTGGATGATTAAAAAGATTATATCGCCGGTTGATGCCACGAGTATATATGGGATTATAGCCATACAACTCAGATTCATAATACAAATCCATCAATTGGTTCTTGTAAGATTAATTGCAGTTTAACCTAAGAACTAATACAGTAGCAAATGAACTGCTAAGAAATAATACCTTGACGTTATAAACAATAGATTCGTGCTCATACGATGTTACCGCAACTTGATAACCCTTCTTCAAACGATCCGCCCCCAAGTTATCCTCCTCCTGTTTTGCCTGAAAATATTGATAAATTAATAAGAGACAGATGCGCAATGGCAACAGTAACCAGGTAGTCAAAAACTGAACTTTTGTAGGATAGATATGACAAATGATTTCAACAACTAGCTTGTGATTTATATACACTAGAAAGTTTGCGCCTACAGCAATGGACTAGCATTGGTCCATTACTGTTTCATGCATTACGATAAAGTTTGAGATGTAGCAAGACTTCATTTCGATTTTTCAACTCTAATATCGATTCATAGGAACGAGTATTTCAAGAGTAAAAAGGCAAAAAAAAGAGCCAAAAATTAACTAACATCCTGCGGATAAACATCCGGTGGTCCTAGTCGATTCCTTTTCAAAGCTCTCCTTTCAGGTGTCTGATAGTGCCATGAGATCACGTTCAAACTTTTCATTCCCATTTTATCTCTTAATGTTTAAATTCTCCTAACCATTTCTTATGTACTGCAAAACAGATTTATTACAAATATCTGATCATATATCAGAATATCTAATCAAAAATAAACCAAACAAACAATAAACACGCAATAGACGAAAATAGATTTATCATTTGAAAATACACGTCACGATTTCGAAAATGTTGCAATTTATTGAAAAATTTGTGGTCTTAGGAAATAAATAAAATTTTCGACAAAAACGTAAAAAACATTCATTACACGTATTATTTAAAAATATACTTAGGAAAAACGTAAAACAAATATTATTTAAAAGCAAATGTAAAACATAAAAAACATGAAGATAGATTTTAATGAGCCAAGCTTGATAGCTAATATTAAAAGTTAAGTGTAACAAATGAACCCAATGCTATAAGTAAAATTACTTAAGCCAACACTTGCAGCGATGTCTAATATCAAATTGCGACTGTTGCATTTCGATTACGTGCATCAAATTTTGAAATGAAATTACGCAAAGAAGTTTTAATGTTCTACGAAGTTTATGATGATAGGAATGAGGAAGTAATAATAGTAAGTATTTATAAAGTATGAAGTAAGTATTAAGTATTTATTTGATAATTAATAAAGCAGAAGTAAGTAATTGATATTTAACAAATCAGACGTAAGTAATTGGTAATTGATTAATCAGAAGTATATAAGTGGTAATCGATAAATCAGGAGTGAGCTAATCGATAACCGATAAATCAGAACTAATTGGTAATTGATTACTCAGAAGTAATTGAAGTTAATAAATCAGAAGTTAGCTAATTGATAATAAATCAGAAGTTAATATCATAAAATTGATGATTGATTAATCAGAATTAGTAGTTGAAGAAATGCTGCTAACTGATAAAAATAAGAGCAATGCCAATTGATGAAATAAGCTAAGGAACGATAGTACTTGTATAATACTATACTTGTATTAGTGATATACAAGTAATTTAATTATATGAAATAGTTACTGCGTAAAGTAAACGTAACAAGTAGTAGTAATGAAGAGTAAGCACAATAATGATAATATCATAAAATTGATAATAATTTTGTTGAAGTGAAATCAATTATTTCAGGTACTGCTAATGTTAACTAATTGATAAAAATAGCAGCAATAATGCTAATTGATTAAAAAATAA